ATAGCTCCTCCTCTACCGCCATCTTGGGAGGGGCGTGGAAGGCGCCGCCACCTTGAGTGTGGCGGGGAGGGAAGGCGGGAGCCGCCATCTTGAGTGTGGTGGGACGGGAAGGCGGGGGCCGCCATCTTGGGTGTGGCGGGAGGGGAAGACGGGGCCGCGATCTTGGGTGTGGCGGGACGGGACGACGGGGCCGCCATCTTGGGTGTGGCGGGACGGGACGACGGGGCCGCCATCTTGGGTGTGGCGGGAGGGGAAGACGGGGCCGCCATCTTGGGTGTGGCGTGGCACCCACAGGAGGCCACTCGGACACAGAGCAAAGAGAGAGACAGCTGAAAACGTATTCATTGTTTAACCAAGAAACCTTCATCTTCAAGCCTAACGGCATGTGTGAGGCTGGGACGGCGCTGCCCAGTGACAGCCCACCTCAATCTAGGCTGGCCAAGAGCAAGGCACTACTGCAAAGCCCCAGGCAAAGGCAGGGGTGCTCCGGTCCCAGCCCACACCCAAGGGTCTCCATCCCGCTGCTGGTGAGCCCGAGGAGGCGCTGGGCTGCAGCCACCACCGCCTAACAGCAGGCTCTGCCCAAGGAAGCCATCGCTTTGTGGTTCTCTTTGGTGCTCACCTGGATGAAGGAGAAAGAGAACATCAAGGAAGGGAACCCCTCTGGCACCACGCTCAGCACGGCTGTAGCGGGTACCTGTCTGCTGCCCATCCCCCGGAGCACAGCATCCCCCTCACCTGGGCCCCTCCAGCACCGCCTGCAGTGACCTCCTCAGAGCCGCATTGCTGTGGCCCAGCGCGGCGGCCAGGCTGCTCCGGTGGGACGGGCTGACCTGGGGGGAGAGGAGCCAGGAGCTGCCCCGCCAGAGACCCCCGGGGCCCGAGCCCGGGCCCGGCCCCACTCACCTGGCTCTGGTACGTGGTGAGCACAGCCATCACCAGCCCGGCGTAACCCAGCGACGTGCCGAGGGCTGGGGCCTGCCGGCACAGCGCCAGCACCAGGCCATCAAAGAGCTCCGGGGGCAGCACCTCCTGGAAGAGCCCCAAGCAGGGAGGTGAGCGGGGCCTTGCTCTGGGGCTGCTGGAGCCGGCAAGGAAACGTGTTGGGGTAAGGGGGTCCTCACCTGCCGCCCCAGCACGGCCTGAACTATGGGCAGGAGCTTCTCCGACAAAGGCACCTCCAAGACTTGGCTGCAAAGGACGGGGAAGAGCAGATGTGATGCTCCTGTGGAGCTGCCGGGTGGTTGGAGCCGCCGGACCCACGGCATGGAGCTGCTGCTCCTGTCAGCTCCCACCTCAGCACCAGCCGCACAGAGTCTGGCTCCAGGCACTCCTCCACCAGCTCGCACACCAGCTTGGTCTGCTCAGCACCTGCAAGGGTAACGCACAACAGGCAGAGAGCCTGACGAGGCTGCCAAACCCATGGGGATGTGCCCAACCGTCCCTGGCACCCCTTCACACAGGGGTATGCCCAGAAAGCATGTACTGCTCCCTTCTGCTGCTCAGGATAAGCCTGTGCCCATCTGCAGCAAGGGTTTAATTCATAACAATCCCTAGGAGAAGGGGATGCTGCTGTGGCAGCGATTCCTGCAGCACCCTCTTCTCATGCCAGCAGAGCCTGCCTGGGGCAGTTTTGGCCCCAGCATTAGGAGCTGGCAGGAACCCCCTAGTCCATGGAAAGGGATGGCAGATTCCCTTTGGGAGAACTGATGCTGGGAGCCAGCCTGGCATCTGTAAACCCATCTCCCATTCTAACTCCCAAGTGTTCACCTGCCCAGATAAACCCAGCACCATTCCTCCATGGTTTCTAATGTATTTTGCACAATAAATCGTCTCCTAGGAGAAGAGAATCTGGGGCTCCCCTTGCTGATGGATGCACCCCATGACCCCTCTCCATTTGCTACCAGACGAAGCCTCCTGCGAGCCCATCACACCTTCCCCAGGCTCCTGCAGGACCGCAGCCACCAGGACATGACAGAAGGGCTGGGAATACTTGGAGCAAAACGAAGTGAGGGCAGCCATAAGGTGTCGGGAGGGCGGCTGGGTGAGGGACAAGACCTAGGGACAAGGAAGGGCAGATGGGGATGGTGGTGAGGGAAGCGGGGGCCAGGAAGTCTCTGCTGCTCTCGCACGTACTCGCCTGAGGAAGAGCTGCTGTGCCAGGGTGGCCGCGCTGGTGTAGCTGAGCTCAGGGCTGAGAACCAACAACCAGCTGCAGAAACGCACCAGGAGGTGCTCCGGGCACGTGGAGAGCTGCAGGAAGGAGCACAGCCCCTCGAGCTGGGATGGCAGAGGGGCAGGCACATTGGGGACACTAGAGACAGCAGCACCAGCAGTTGCAGTGGGGATGCTGAGACTTACCTGGGCAGGAGAGCAGCTGTTCAGGACGTGCAGCTCAGGCGGGATGCTGAGATCTGGGTGCTGGAGGGAAACCTTGAGTTAACAATAAACCAACCACAGAACACAGCTCCAGGCCTTTTCTCCTCACTGCCACCCCCTGCACTGTGACAGCAAACCCCTGTGGGCAGCAGCCTCCAGCCATCGCTGTAAACCCACATCCTCTCCCATCCCTTCCAGAGCCCCTGTCTTCAGCCCCTTGAGACCACCAGCTCCAGGAGACAGACAGAAGCAACACTTACACTGGACTCCTTCTGCAGCAGCATCTTCAGTCTTGGTCCATGCAGCTGAAGAAAATGAGATGAAGGAATAAGAATCAGAGTGTAAAGGCTCAGTGGCTGGAAGGGGGAAGCCAACCCTGCCCGGTACCTGGAGAAAGGACTGGACCTCCACTGCCACCTCTGCCTGGGAGATCTTCCTTGGAGCTTCCTGCTGGGAGCCTTCCAGAGCAGCCCCACCTGGGCTTTGTGCAGATCCATCTCCCGAAGACTCCTCTGGCATCTCCTCTTCCATCCCTGCCACATCCGCAACCTCCTGCATTCCCGGGGGGTCAAACACCACCTCCTCCAGCAGCATCCTCTTCCCTTCTCTCTCCTCATCCAACTCCAGGCTCTCCTCGGACACTTCCTTGTGCTTCCCATCGTGAAGCACAGAGTCAGCCCCATCCCCAGTGCCGCTGGGCTGTTTGCTGAAGCACCACTTCAGTTTCCTTCGCCCCTCTGGATCGTTCTGGCCAATTCTCTGGCCCAGGCATCTAAGCTGCTGCTGGCACATGGAAGACAAGAGACCAGGAGATGGGCAGCATGCTGCTGCCCTTGCTTCCTGCCGGAGCAAATCCCCCAGTGCCCGCACCCAGGGATCCACATGGGAATCCCGCTCCAATGCCTGGAGCAGCTGATCGAGGCAGCTCCCCGGCACCAGGGCTTGCACCACGAGCAGCAGGGAGAAGAGGTTTCTCTGGCACACAACAGGGAGCAGCAGCAGCCGGGGCTTCCTGGATAAGGGGAGAAAAGGGAAGGATGACGCACCAGAGCAAATCCCTAAATCCTTGTTTCCCACAGAGCAGAGTCTAATGGGCCCAGGAAGCAAGAGGAGGCAGAAAACACAGAACGCCTCAAGTTGGAAAGGACCCATAAGGATCATAGCGTCCAACTCCCTGCTCCTCACAGGACTACCTAAAGCTAAACCATATGGCTAAGAGCATCGTCCAAATGATCCTTGAACTCCGAACCCAGGTTGAATCATCTCTTATATATATAACTTCACCAACTTTTGCAGGCAAAGAGCAGCAGGTCCCTGGCACAACCCTGACATCACTACAGACCATGGGAAAGAGGATGTGCGGTGCTGAACCGGGCACCTGACACCCCAAACCTCCTGCAAAACACCCAGCTGTGGGAACATATCCAACTCACACAGCCAGGGCCCCCTCCGGCCCGTCCAGCGCAGGCTCCTCGGCACACAGGGCTGTAGTAAAGGTCTGCCAGGGAAACACGGGCCCTGGTCCCTCTCCGGGCTGGACCCGCTGCAGCATCCGGAGCGCAGCCAGCGTCCCACGGGAGCCGGAGGCCAGCGCATGGAGCAGGAGGCGGCTGTGCTTGTCCAAGCTCTGCAGCCAGGGCAGCCCGTGGGGCTCCATCGCCTGCAAGGGAATCGGGGAGAGGCCTCACATGGGGCGCACCGGGGAGGACGGGTCCATCCAGGACACGCTCTGCAGCGAACCTCCCTCCCCAGCTCCAGTCTGGGGGCTGCCCTTACCTGCAGGGGGGGCCGTGGTTATCCTCACCACCCGCGGGTGGAGGCGCATCACCGAGGAACCCCGCCGAGCTCCCTAAACCCGCTCCCCTCGCAGCTCCCCACCACCCGCTCAACGGGACAAGAGGGGAACCGCCGGGCGCTGCTGGCGGTGCCCCCGCCCGGAGCAGCCCCACCGCCCCCGGGGACCCGCACACCGCGGCACTGGGGCCGGGTTATCCCGGTGCCCGCCCCCCGCTGGGACACACACACCGCGGGGGGACACGGGAGGGGTCCCGGGGTACCCCCGCGCACCGCCCGGTGCCGGTGACCCGGAACCCGCGCCCGCTCCACTTCCGGGCCCGCCACCCTAGAGAAGCGCGCCACATATGCAAATCAGTCGCCCATGCACGTTGGATTCATTATGCAAATGAACCCTAAAGGCAAACCCTGGCATCCCCGCCGAGCACAGCCGCGGCGGTGGTCGTTTAGAGCCCGCTTTATTTCATCACGTCCACGTTGGCTAAAAGCAGTTTAAAACAGCGCCCGCAGCTCCCCCCCGGCCCCTTGTGCACCAAACCCCCGCCAGCCTGAAACCCAGCCCCGGCCCCCCCCCCAGCCGGTCTCCACCACCAAGGTGAGGGCAGGAGAAGGGGGGGCCTGTGCCCCGCTGCACGGAGACCCCCCCAGCTCCATCACCCCCTGGCTTCCCGTGGGATGTGGGACCTGCTGGGGGTCCATCAACACATTTCCCCATCCCAACCCCATCCAGGGTGCAGCACCCCAAAACAGTGTTGGGAGCGGCCCAACACATCAAAAGCTGATGCTTCCCCCTCCCAGAGGATATTCCCTTGCCACCAACAGTGGGGCACCCCACGGCTTTAGTCAGAGTCGCTGAACTCCACAAGGAGCACCTCGTGGCCATATCTGGAGTATCGGAAGTCTGCTTCCACCACAGCCAGGCTGAGAGCCCACTCCAGCACACAGAGCTCCTCATCTTCCTCGTCAGAGCTCTCCAAAGGAGGGTCCTGCAGCACAGGAGACAGGATGAACCCCAGCCTGGAGCCATGCCCCGCCCCCCCCCCCCCCCCCGGGATGTGCCACCCCGCTTACAACGGGCACCCTTGGGTGCTGCTGCCTGCGCCGTGGTGGCTGGCGGGCGGGCAGCTCGTGCAGGTAGATGCAGTCTGACTTGAATGGGCAGCACCCGCGGTTCTGGGCAAAGAACTTGCACCTGATTTTCCTATGGGGTCAAAGCACAGCTGTGGGCACAGGTCCCGAAGCAGCGCAGAGCCTGCAGTGCCGCACACTCACCCTGTCCGTGCCTTGAAGGTCTTGATGAGCTTCTCCTTCTCAGCCCCCTCCGAGACCCAGTATTTGTGGGGGATGTAGTAACTGGAGGTGATGCGGCATTCTGGGCAGGCCCTGGCAAAGGAGATGGGTGCAGGGCCCAAAAAGGGAGCGGGGAGCATGGGCCTAGCACCCACACTGGCTGGTCCCACCACTACAGCCTCATCCAGCATCCCCAACCCTATCGCAACACCCAAATGCCTGTTCCCAAAGGGAAGTTGTTCCTTCCCAAGGCCCAGGGGAGGATTTCAGGGTGCAGAAAGGGTGACGGTGACCACCCCCCCACGTCCGCATCCCCGCTCACTTGATGACGGTGCTCTGGAAGTCACGGCTGCGGCGCCACTTGCGGATGCAGCCCAGGCAATACGCGTGGCTGCAGTTGGGGAGGATCCCGAAGAGCCGCTCCTCTGGAAGCGGCTTCTCGTACACCCGGTCCATGCAGATGCCGCACACCACGGCCTCACTGCGGGCCCTCAGTGCCTCGCTGGACACCGGTGCTGCCACAGCACCCGGCTCCTTGGGGACCTGCAAGAGGAGCCCCACGGCATTGCCCATTGGCACTGCCCCACAGGGACTGACAGGGCCTGCCCAGTGCAGGAGACCCCCAGCCCACCTCTGCGAGGTCAGTCCTTGTCACCATCTCCTTCCCAGGGTCAGAGGAGTTGGGATCCAGTCCCAGCACTCGCGCCTGGGAGCCTGCAGGCAGGAGAGCTCTCAGAGAGGAAAACCACATCCCACCCCACCATCCAAGAGGCAGGATGGCTGCTCCAGAGCACAGGCTCCACAGTTACGGTCCCAACCCCAATCAAGAGATGCTGCCCCCATCTGGGCATTGCCCACAGATGGAGGGAGGTGCGGAAAAAACATGCATGGAGGGCACCACCGTGACCAGCCACCGCAGCATCCTCAGCCTCGCTCATCCCCAGGCACCCACCTGAGGCCCCCCGAGCTCGTGCAGGGACAGCCTCTCCGCCGACGGCCCCACGAGGGACATCATCGGGTGCAGGGATCTTCTCCTTGGCTTTCCTTTCCCCCTCAACCTCCACGCTTGGGAACTTGAAGGCCACGTGTGTCACGCTGGGGGCAGGGGGGGCCAAGCTGCGCCGGGCTCCCCCCCAGCCCCGGGCCATGGCCACGGGCGCAGGCTCCAAGCCCCAGTAGCTGCGGGGAGCAGGGGGCACGGGGCCATAGCGGGTCCCCACCGGCACTGGCTCCTCTTGGATGTGCTCGTAGCTGGACAGACAGAGGTCCCGTCAGCCCAGCCGGACACCTCCTGGCTCCCGGCGCATCCCGGTGGCAGCAGCCCCCCTCCTCGCTGCCCCTTTACCTGCACCTCTCTCCGTAGCTGCAGAACCCGCTCTGGAAGTACCTGCAGGTCTGGGCTGACTTTCTGTCGTGCGAGAAGCGGCAGTTCTGGCCCCAGCGGCAGAACCCACGGGCGAAGTTCCTGCCAGCCGGAGAAGCGGCACGGCCGGGGTCAGACCCCAAAATCCCCCCGGGCACCACCCATGTTTTCAGGGCCCCCGGGCTGGTGTCTGTGCTCAGGAGCCCTCCCCAAGGGCAGATCCCAGCGGGAGCCAGGGCTCTCCCTGCCCCATCCAGCCTCCCCTCCTCCTGGCTAAACAAAGCCCAGGGCTGGGCTGTCCGGGGGGGCCTGGAGCATGAGGCTGGGGATCTCCCTAGGGCTGGGGGAGCAGGGAGTCCCACTGGAATATGGAAGGCATGGAAAGGGGCAGGAATCCTCAGCCCGGGGCTGGCAGGGAGGGGGGGGTCCCCTTGGGGTGCTGCTGGGAACCCCCAGCTCCAGAGCAGGGGAGGCAGACAGGACAGGCCCGGTCCCCTCCATCCCCTCACCCTCCAGAGGATACAGGAAAGGGGGGTTCTGGGGCACCACAAACCATTCCCTGTCCCCAGAGCAAGGGATTCACAGCCCCATCTCCAGCCTTTCTCCCGCAGAAGCTGCTCCCAGCCTCCCCTTTCCCCTCAAAGTCCTACCTGCACAGGGGTCTCAGGCAGCCCCCGCGGGCCACCAGCGAGCCCGGCTCCATTTTCTCCTGGCCGCACGAAGGGCTGGGAGACCTCCTGGGACTACTTCTGGCCTTGGCCCGTGTCCTGCTTTTGGCTGGGACAGAGTTAATCTTCCTCCCAGGAGCTGGTGCAGCGTGTTTTGGATTTGGGGTGAGAATACCGCTGATAACACACGGATGTTGTAGCTGTAGCTGAGCTGTGTTTACACTGAATCAAGGACTTCTCAGCTACCCAGACTGCTGCAGCAGCAAGGATGAGGGGGGCACAAGGAGCTTGGAGGGGACACAGTGGCGACAGCAACCCCCACTTCCCAAAGGGATATTCCAAGACCATACAGTGTTATGCTCAGGATATAAACTGGGGGGGGAGGAAAGCTGGCCGGGGGCTGCTGCTCAGGGATGGGCATCAGTCAATGAGCAATCACATTGAGCAATCAGGGGGAGAACTTAGAGCAGCTCCAGTGCCTAAAGGGGCTGCAGGAAACCTGGAGAGGGGCTTGGGACAAGGGATGTAGGGACAGGCCAAGGGGAATGGCTTTAACCTGCCCGAGGGGAGACTGAGATGAGCTCTTAGGCAGAAGCTCTTCCCTGTGAGGGTGCTGAGGCGCTGGCACAGGGTGCCCAGAGAAGCTGTGGCTGCCCCATCCCTGGCAGTGTTCAAGGCCAGGTTGGACACAGGGGCTTGGAGCAAGCTGCTCTATGGAAGGGGTCCCTGCCCGGGGCAGGGGTTGGAGCTGGAGGAGCTTTAAGGCCCCTTCCAATTACAGCTCTACTATTTTTATAAAGGAAGGGCTGGGGCAATTGTTTTCCCTGGGGGCACTCGAGGGGGGGCAGAGGGAAGCTGGGGGGTGGCAGCTGCTCCCCACAAACTCTCGGCTGTTGAGACCTGACAAATCCTTGAAATCATGGCAAATCCATGGAAATCACACCAAGTCCCATGGGAGCTGCTGCAAACCCTCCCAAAGGGCAGGTCCCCAAGGGGCCCGAGTGAAACCCCACACAGAAAAACTGGATGCTACAAAGGTTCTTAAATACTTAGTTCAGATTTATTTAAAGTCAAGTCAGTTTGTGGACACTATTTATATTATTAAAAACACTTGGAGGTTGGTACTTCTAGCAAAAATATACATTTCAGTTTGAGGGTTGTTAACGCTGGCGAGGAGGGAAGAGCAAATGTTCCCCAGGTGACGAGCATGAGTCCCATGTCGGCCACGCTGAGGAGGACAAATCCCCTGGGATCCATCCAGTGCCTTCCCCCAGAGGGCTTCAAAGTGCTTTAGAAACGGTCATTCATAACCCCCCTGTGAGGTAGGGAGGGGAAAGGGAAACTGAGGCACGACAGGAGCTGGGGGGCAGCAGCAGGGGCAGGTTTGGGGCCAGCCAGCTCTGGGAGGGGACACCCAGAGCAACTCCCTTGGGGTTTTAAAGGAATTATTGCACCAGGGAAATCTGCTACCCTGAACAGGAGGAAAGTAAAGTAAAACCGACTGATTTGCTCCCACAACCCCTCCTTGGGAATATCGGGATCACAATAAGGCTGCTCAGGACATACAGGACACAAGCTGCAGGTGGGCAGGTCCCAAGAAGGACTGAGCCCTTCCTGGAGCTCTGTGTCTCCCAGAGGCGGGGGGACAGGAAGCTCCTGTTCATCGTTGGCAACCCACCCTTGGTCTCCCCTTTTATAAATCCTTGGCATTTCTACTGGTTTAGAGCTTCAAAGCTCTTTGCAACCAACACACCACCTAATCCTTGTGCTCCTCCTCCGAGCAGAGAAGAGACAATCCAGCTCACTTTCACATAGGGGAAACTGAGGCAGGACAGTTAACAGGTCAATGCCCTTTCAGCATCACAAGCACTTTGGGCTGGCTGTGGCTCTCCCCTTGCTGGTGTTTCTGAAGGCTTTGCTTGCTCAGGTACTGACAGGGAGCTGCTGCACAACCCCCTGAGCCCCCCAGGCTGGGGAAGGGGCTGCAGGACAAGCCAGAAGCCCTGCACCTCACCCTGACCAGCCCCAGGCCTTGCACAGGCCTTTCTGGTAACTGACATCCCTGCAGGACAGCCTGGGGAGCACAAAGACTCCATCCTCTGCTCTGAAGGTGGGTTCTGATGAGCCAAACCCACCTCCTCGTCCCTCCGTCTCTCACATGGAGGTGCTGAGCAGCAGGATCCCTTTGAAACAGTGGTACCGGGAGCAAGGGAAGGCAGAGATCACACAATCCCTCTGGGAGACAGGAACATACCACACATCGAGGGAAGGGGGCAGCAGTTGAGGGTCTCTGCTAGGACCACACCACCCACCTTCAACACTCTGGCTTTTCTCTGGGATAGGGAGAAACATCCTTTCATTACACTGTCCCTCACGGCTCAGGACCACTTCGGAGTGCAATACAAAGGTCAAGACACATCGTCGGTGCTGTGGCTGGCCCCAGAAGGTACCTGCACCACGCTCGGGTGTCCTAATGACCACATCATCTCCCACCATCCCCAGACTGCTGGAACCCCCACCATGTAAACCGCGTGGTTGCTCCAAGGAGCAGCTGAAGAGCTGGGCTGTAGTAACGGAAACTGTAGCTTATGATTTGCCTTTGTACATTTGTTAGTGTGTGTTAACGGGAGCCCTGGGCCTAGCAGGCGGTGGCTGATGGCGTCTCGCCCTATGTACCGTACGTCAGGGTCACGTAGAAAAGAGTTTCCAGTAGAAGAAATGGAAGACGTGGGGGGAAAGGTTTTCTTTGTTTCTGTACAAAGAGTCTTGATGGGAATCATGGCTTCATTTGCATAAATAACAGGTCCTTAGTACATGTCCTTGTAGATCTCCTGCAGAAGAGGGTGCAGAGATGTCTCAGTCTCTGTCTTCTTGATCTTCTGCACGAGCTGGGCGTGCTCTGTCACCAGCTGCCGCAGGTCTGCCATCTTCTGCAGCAGCTTGGGGAAGAGGTACTGGGCATCCGGGTGGTTGGACTGCAGGTGGAACTCCAGCGCCCGCAGGATGTTATCCTGGATCTCCTCCACTTGCTTCACGTTCATCAGGCCAGGGCGGTCTGTGGAGAGGAAGCTGCAGGGTTATGGTGTAGCCCTCCAAAGCACATGCTCCTCCTGGGAAAAGGGAGACGGGGACTGTAACCCACCCACCATGACTCCAACCTCAGCAGCTACACCAGGGGAAGCGTGCCCTCAGCCAACACATCCCACAGCAGCATACAAGGAGGTGCCACTTCTCACTGCTGGTCAGCATGACCAGCAGGTCGAAGGAAGGGATCCTGCCCCTCTACTCTGCTCTCATGAGACCCCACTTGCAGCACTGCGTACAGTTCTGGTGTCCCCAACATAAGAAGGACATGGAGCTGTTGGAGCAAGTCCAGAGGAGGCCACGAGGATGCTCAGGGGCTGGAGCACCTCCCGTATGAAGACAGGCTGAGAACACTGGGGCTGTTCAGTCTGGAGAAGCTGCGTGGAGACCTCAGAACAGCTTCCAGTGTCTGAAGGGGGCTACAAGGACACTGGAGAGGGACTCTTCATCAGGGACTGCAGTGACAGGACAAGGGGTGATGGGTTCAAACTGAAACAGGGGAAGTTCAGGTTGGATCTAAGGCAGAAGCTCTTCTCTGTGAGGGTGCTGAGGCACTGGCACAGGGTGCCCAGAGAAGCTGTGGCTGCCCCATCCCTGGCAGTGTTCAAGGCCAGGTTGGATGGAGCCTTGGGTGACACAGTCTAGTGTGAAGTGTCACTGCCTGTATCAGGGGTTGGACTTGGATGATCTTAAGGCCCCTTCCAACCCAAACCATTCTATGATTCTACACACCTTGCTCTCAGTTCAGGCTTGCCAGGCATCAACTGCCATGAAGAAGTGCTGGTTTTGGAACTGTTCTGTTCTTCTCCCACCCCCCTAAGACACCCCTGGCTGATCTCTGGCACCCCTGAGCTGCAGCTCAGGTCCCGCAGCACATCCCAAACCACCTCTAGGTACAGGAGGACTCTTCTTGACACTTTCATGGCCAAGAGCACCCGCTCACCTCCGCACAGGATGATGGCAGCCACAAACAGAGACAGGTCACTGTCATCCAGCTCCAGCGCATTGAACTTCACTGCGAACTCAAACTTGGGCTCCATGATCTCGTTGAAGGGCTTGCGCAGGCTACGCAGGAACTCACGGGTCACAAAGCCATTCCCATTGGCCACCAAGAGCCCATCCTTGTTCATGATAGAGGCCAGCATGGCAAAGATGGCCTCGTGCACCCCGTATTTCAGCAGAGTCACTTGGTCGTTCAAGTAGAGGCCTATGAAGCTGGGGATGCTCTTGGCAAACTCGGTGAGCTCCCGCACAGTCTCGACCGTGGTGCACTGGCAGCGGTAGAAGACGTGCACCCCGATCTCCTTGTAGGGGGGGATGCCATTCACTAGCTGCTTCCACACCAGCCCCTTTTCTGCCTGCCATAAGGTGTCCATGTCATGGATCACAAAAGGCTGCTTGAAAAGAAGCAAGCAGTTAGGAACACATTTATGACCCTGCTCATTGAAGGGGGGTTGGACTAGATGGCCTATGAAGGTCCCTTCCAACCCAAACTATTCTATGAACATGCTGCAGGGACTCAAGACACCAGCTCTGCCAAGGACACTTGCACTTGTCTGCCTGTCCCTTTGCTGTTCTCTTCCTTCTGGGGCAATCTGTACCCCCAGAACAGCACAAGTCTGCAGAGGAACAGGAATTTGCCCAGCCAGGGGCAGGATCGGTACAGCCCATCTGGCTGCAGCTGGGAGCTGCTGCATGGGGAACAGCCACAGCAGGATCCCCCAGAGAACAGCCCCGTGTTGGTCATGGCCAACCCTGCCTGCCCTGGTGAGGGAACTTACTGGGGTGCTGCTGGCCTTCCCGGTCAAGATACCTCTCGCCTTCTTTTTGGTCATGTTGAAGTTCTTCAGGTAGGCGTTGTAGATGTGCTTGGAGAATGCCTTCAGGTCGGCCACCTGCGGGTTCTGGCAGCTGATCTCACTCGCTGTCAGCCCTGCCACCAGCTTCCTCTTCTCTGCCTCGGGCATGCGGCCAAAGCGGATTGCTGGGGGGCAACACCAGCTGGTCAGGACACTGGGGATGATCCAAGGGGATGCATCCAGGGAAGCAGCATCTGCTCTGCCACCACAGAAGTCTGCTGGTGAACACCGACACAATGCTTCTCTGGGGAGGCAGCTCCTCCAGCACTGACACCTTCATGAACCAGCTGTTACTGCTCCTGATTACTCTTGCCAACACCAGCTCCCATCCCCACTCCTCTGGGCTCTCACACAAACCCCTTTTCCCACATAAAGACCTTTACTTGCCCCAGAACAAGATGGTTACACCTGAAGCTTAAAAATCCCAGCACAGAAGAGCAATCTGTGTGTCCAGCTCCCTCTGGGCCAACCCATAAGGGAAGGCCACGTGGCACCAGCCAGCTGGCATGGTGGGGACAAACCACCCCTTCTTGTGGAGAAGGGGATGAAGAGGCAAAGTCTCAAAGCATTGTGTTTGAAAGATGATTCCCTTAGCAAGATGACAGCAATGGGCTAAAGCAAAGGCACATAAAACCCCTCACAGAAGGGCAGGTGGCCCCTTGGCACCCAGCAGTGACACTCACCATTATGGGACATTCCCAGTGAGAGGCATTTCTGGAAGCGGCAGTACTGGCACTTGTTCCTGTTCTTCTTCTGAATCTTGCAGCTCCTCTTGCACTTCTCATACTCCAGTTTCATGCGGATCGTCCGGCGGAAGAAACCCTGCAGGTGGTGGCACAGAGGGGCACACAGAGCAGGGGGACAAGGGAACAGCAGTGTTAGCACCTCCGGCTGGGGACAAGGGGGGGTCTTATCCTTAGGAGCCTCATGGGGGTTCGGCCGGGTGGGGAGGAGCAGCCCTGGCTCTCTGACACAAGCAGTCTCCACCTCAAGGAGAGGTTGTGTGGTGGGAGAAGTGGCTGCAGAGGAAGGGCTCTGGGCTGGTGCTGGGAGCTGTGGGTGTGATTCTGCAGGCAGAGAGGAAGGCAGGGACAAGCGAGCCCCAGCCTGCAGGAATGTCTGTCAGGGCCTGGGCCCAATGCAGCCCCACTGGCATCTGCTGTGGGGGAAAGAATTTCAGAGGTGCATCCAAGCTGTGGCCAGTGATCCCAGGGGGATAAACACACAGCTCACTGCTGAGCTGCAGCACAGAAAGCATCTTTAACAGCAAAGCCAGGGTCCCCATGGGGACAGGCAGATTTGCCTTACAAAGTAAATCATGATGGGGCAAGATTTAGGCCTTACACATCTCAACTGCCTCCCCCAGGTCAGTATCTGTCTGCCTGTACTCTCCACACTGGTTGCAAATGATGTTCAGCCTGGAGAAGAGAAGCTGTGTGGAGACTTCAGAGCAGCTTCCAGTGTCTGAAGGGGGCTACAAGAATGCTGGAGAGGGACTCTTCATTAGGGACTGCAGTGACAGGACAAGGGGTGATGGGTTCAGACTGAAACAGGGGAAGTTCAGGTTGGATCTAAGGCAGAAGCTCTTCCCTGTGAGGGTGCTGAGGCGCTGGCACAGGGTGCCCAGAGAAGCTGTGGCTGCCCCATCCCTGGCAGTGTTCAAGGCCAGGTTGGACACAGGGGCTTGGAGCAAGCTGCTCTATGGAAGGGGTCCCTGCCTGTGGCAGGGGTTGGTGCTGAAGGAGCTTTAAGGTCCCTTCCAACACAAACCATTCCATGGTTCTAAGTTTCTAAAATCACTCAATCCTGCATCCCTGTTTTGCTGCAAATCTGCTGTCTGAAGATATCATGGTCCCAGGGGTCAAGTCCCTGCCTGGCCCAGCCCCTCACGCACCTTGCAGCCCTCGCAGGCGTGGACACCATAGTGAAAGCCCGAGGCTCTGTCTCCGCAGACTCTGCACTCCACATTGAGCGCTCCCAACGCTGCCTCCTCGCAGCCCATCTGCAGTTGGTCCGACAGGGAGGGAGAGGAGCTCTGCGAAAGGTCTGCAAGCACACAGCAGGTACATCCCTTTGGGCTGCAGCCACAAACCCAGTGTTCTGTCCAACTGGGATTGCCAGCACTGTCCCACCCTGCCACTGGCATTGCAAGTGGGCAGTTAACGTCTGAGATCAGGCACTCGCTGCGGGCAGATGCCAAGCACAGAGCCAAAAGTGCCCTCGGTGTGAGAGACATCAAATCAGTGCTGATTTCTCCCCTCTAGGCAATGAAATCCAACCAGCAATGTTATAATCCCCAGTTGGCAGGCGGCTGGCACAGGGCTGCCCAGCTGGGAAGTCCACGGCTCTGGAGGAGCATTTTCAGTAGTAAGAGTTCTTCCCACTTCAGCTCCTATAATCAGTTTGCACTGGAGACTTCAAGAAGTAGCCAGGGAAGCATTCTCAGGCACCCTGGGAGTCCCCTCACGTTACCCCCCTATCCTTTTAACTTCCATCTCCTAAATCTCTGGCAATGGCTGTGCAGTAACTGCACAGAAAGAACTAAGCCTCTCCCTAAGCTGGCTCTCAATGCATCTTCTCGTAAGGGGGGAGATTAAAAACAAGCCACCAAACTCCATTCAGGGGCAGGTCCTCTGCCCTTGCAGCTGAGCATGTGGATGCCTGGATGCTCCCAGGGCTCCACTCACCTGTGTAGCTGCTCGAAGGCAGCGAGCTGTCTGGTCCTCCACTTGCGTCTGAGGCTCCGCCTCCCACCATCACTGCCTCTTCCTCTTCCTCCTCCTCTTCCCTGACCTCAGGTACTTCCTCCTGTAGTTGTTCCATAATTGATCACCCCTCAGTGCCAAGACTGCAATCGCTGTCATAGCTCTGGCATCATCCGCGTCTATTCGAGATGGACCCTACCAGGCTGTTCCTGTTAGCCTGTGGGAAAGAGAAGAAAGCACCCGCTGAGCACCCCAGCAGCAGGGCAGTATGGCACCACACCAGGACCCCTCTGCTTTCCCTCCTTAAGCCAGGGAGACAAGCAGGACCTTTAGAGGTCACTTTACACTCTGGTACAAACACTCTGCAGGCCTCAAGGAAGCAGAAGCTCACTGGAGCTGTATTTAAAGCCCAGCAGACAAAGCCCAGACCACAAACCAGCCCAGGCATCACGCAGGGACCTGCAAGTCCCACAGCAGAAACACTGCCCCAGACAATGTCCCGTGAGCAGCCAGCACCCTGGGGTGGCACAGTGGATGCTGAGGCCAGGTCTGACAGCACCAACACCACCAGAAGGATTCTGATAGAGCTGCCTTCACCCTCCACCCCCGGAGCTTGGAGGGAGGGCAGCAGCCAACCAGGGCACAGCAGCTCTGTGTGGGTGGGAGATGCTGGTAGAGCCAGGCTCAGTTAAGAGCAGACAGTGGCTGAGAGCCCCTGGCCTGTGTGAGCCATCTGCAAGCCTGATGCTCCCTGTCACGCTCCTTCCCATTCCAGCGCTGCCAGTTCCACCAGTTGTGTTTATTTCCACTTGCTGTGTTGTAACTGGCCTCGGCTCCTGTGCCAAGAGCTGGGTTCAACGCGTTGCTGCTGCTCCGAGCAGCTGCTGGGCTGTGCTCAAGCAGTGTGATCACAACAGCAACACAATCCAGCCTGTGTCCCAATCCCGGGTTTCCTGCGGGAGGAACGGCCCCGTCCCCCCTCCTGCACGCTTCCGCTCCTTGTTTGCCTTAGTCCATCCCAAACAGCCCACAGAAAACTCAAGCTGTGTGAATGGTGCATCCCCACTTCCCATCTCCCTCCTATGCATCCATGCTGGATCTTGCCAGAGCATTCACCTCATGCCTCAACATCCCAGTGCTCTTTTACCTCCAGATCTTGGGTCCTAAACTGACTCTTGCTTGAATAATTAATATCTCAAGCCCAGTTTATGTAGAGTTGCATCCAGTTCCTGAAAGGAGCTATTTTTAAGTGGAGAAATAGCCACTGAAATCCATCTTCCACCAGCAAAGCCTCAATTTGCATGCGTTAAACTGATGCAGCATCCTCGAGCCCACAGCAGAGGGAAATGAGTAACCTACTCACAGGGAACTCGCACAGGATCAGCCTCCAAGCACCAGGATGGTCTGTGATCCATGCCCAAGCCAACACCACAGCACTGGCCTTGACGGGGGACAGGAGCAGTGAGCCCAGACTCCCTGGGCTCATTTTCCCTCCTGCAGCAGACCCTCACATTGGCACTTGGAGCTTGCGCCACAGCCAGCTCCTTGGACTCACTGGAAAGCCATCAGCAAAACCTGCAAGCAGGAGGCTGAATGCAAACATGTCCCAAAGCCAGGGCACAAGTCACCTCTGGAGCCTGGGGCTCCTGCAGGAGAGGGGGCTTTGCTCTTCCCCTCCACACTGGGAATACCAGGGGCAGGGCAGATGGCTTTGTTTCCAGGAGAGCTATGTTAGAGGCAGCCAGCAGCCCCCTCAGAGCAGGAGCAGGAGCAGGCAGAGGGGTGCTCAGACAAGGGCAGAGCACTCCCTCCCTGTGCCTCCACAAGAGCACTGAGGGACCATTGAAGGGCTGTGTTATCCTTGGCCTCCTCTCACACATCCCCCATGGTGGGACATGGCACACGGCAGGAAAAGCAATTCATGGGAGACGGAGGGAAACGAGCTCCATGGGTTTGAAGGCTATATATAAATGAATGTACAAACATCAGGAAAATGCTTGTGCCTGGAAGAGCAGTTAGCGAGGGAAGCTTGCGGCAGAAGAAACTAGGCTGCAGTGGAAAATACAGCCTGCAGCAGCTTCATGAGATTCTTAGCAGCTCTCTTTTGTCTCTGGCATCCAGCACAGGCCACTTGCTTTAAACCCAGTGCAGATGAAGCCCTCTGCTTCACCCCAATTGCCACTGGAACAAGGTGGACGCATCACTTTAGCGGCATCCCTGGCACACTGTCCTCCATCCGCCTGACCTGCTCAGGGCTGTGCGCTCCCCAGGGTGGCAGCAAGTCTGCAACACACAGCTTACACTGCCAAACCCACCAGAGCAACCCCAAAACCGTGCTGGGGTCAGTGCCTGGAGACGGGGGGGCAGCCCTGAGAGGGCGAAAAGTAGGGGCTGGGATGTTCACAGAGTGCAAGGCCAGGCTCCAGCTAAGACTCCCCATGTAAATGCAGGCGTCAGGGGAAAGATAAGGATTTGGATCCCACCCTTTGAGAGCGGACCGAGCCAGAGAGAGAGAAAAGCTTCTACCAGAAGGCTCTGAATGTATTGTTTTAGTATCTCCTTGCAGGCCAAGAGTGCAGGGGCCTGGCCAGAAGGAAGCTGTGAGCACTGTTTGCACACCTGCCTTTCCCTCAGCCATTCCCCTGTTTTCTAAACACACACAGAGGGAGGGAAGAGGGAAAACGGGATTGATTCCACACAGGAGGCTGCACCCCTGCCCTGGGGCCAAGGCAGCCACCGCCCGGGTGAGAGGCAGGGCACAGGCTGTGCCTGCACCCCAGCATGGAGCCAGCCAGCATGGCAGGCACCCCCCCCCCTTCCCCCGAAGAGGTGCAGCCCCCAGCCCTCCCCTCTGGGCCAGGGGCAGCACATGGAGGCTGGGGGGCTGTGCTGAGGTTTCACACATGCTCCTCTGCTCCTGTGAGCCCCGTGGTGCAGAGTGGGGTGTCCTGGGAAACCAGAGCTCCCCAGAGGTTCCTCTGAACTCTGAGCATGAGCACAGCCATGGGCAGAGCTGTCACAGCCCCGCATCCTTGTGGGATGGTGCTGGGGATGGCAGAGGATGGCCAAAGGGCCCATCTCAGCCCCAGGACCGCTCCATCCACTTGGTGCCTTCGCATCCAGCTGCAGAGCAGGCAGAGCCAGAGGAGGGATGACTGTCTCCTCCCCTTGGCTAAAAAGCACCAGCCAGAGCACAGCCCAAAGCTTTGAGCTGCAACACACAGCCTCCTCCTTTTCCTGTTCATCAGCTGTTACAGGGCACCGATGGAAAGAGGATGGAAACATGGACACAGAAAGTGAATTACTTCCTAAGCGCCTCTGGAGAATCCAGCAAAGCCGTTTCCTTTCCTCTTCCACAGGATGGAAATGAGCAAGAGGGCAATCATCTCGTGACTTGCTCTGCCCTTGCCTCAATCCCCGTTCCAAGGAGCTTTGGTAAGCCTGGCAGAGGCAGCAGCCACCCTCCAGGGAGCCAGCAGCAGTGGGGCTGTTTGCTGGCTCTGGGCTTGGGCAGATGCCTGCTCCCATGCTGCAAAGAGCACTGCAACAGGTTTATCTTCACTAGAAGTGGGAGCTGGCATCTATGCCAAGCTAAACCATACAGCAGGAATGGGGGAGAGACACGGCACAAGGGGAGGAGGAAAGAAACCAGGTTTCTCACCAGTGTTCCTGTCCCAGTGCAGCGTCACAAGACGGGGACGTGTGTTCTAACACAGACACTCAGGTGCTGGCAGCCAGACAGCCCCAGAGCCAAAGCAAGGAAGTGCTTGTAATTAGAAAGATCTCATCTTTAACCCAAGTGTAGTTTCACTGGTGGTGAGCTCGAACAAGAGGTGATTTTGGTGTGCTCACTGGCCAGGACACATGCTCCCACTCCCCTCCAAGAGACATCCATTTGTTTCCAATATATTTACCCAGATGGGATTGCCCAAGTCCCCACTGCAATCTGGAGGATCATCCAGTGTAAGATCCCACCCTGGAAGATGGGAGTTTCCAGGCAAAGCAAAGTGCCAAAGAACAGGTCCAAACCTCCCTAGGGCCAAGTCACAGAGCTGACCCGCTCAAAGCAGTTGTTCAAGTTACTGGAAAAGAGGTCACCAGGAATTGCAAAGGGAACCAGTTTACGGCAGGAGCACTTCCAGCCTGTGTTTGTATTCCTCTGGGTTGGAGTTTTAGCCAAATTCCCAGTCAACAGAATTGAATCCCTTTGGAAGGGGCAAGATGAGAACACAGCCCTCTGTACGCTTCCCGTGACGCACAGCACATCACAAATCCACAAAGAGACATTGAACTGAATCCATAAACAAAATGTGATTGCTGCTCCTTGGCCATCACTTGCGGATGTCCCCTGGGATGTGTCACAGCTTCCGATAGCTGCAGACCAAGTACCTGTTTCTGTTCCTCCTCCTCGACATCAGCTACTACCAACAAAAGCCAAATAAGAGCTAAGCAGATGCTGCAATAGAGGAAAGGTAACTTGAGTACACCGAAGATGTTTTTGTTTCTTAAAGATCATGAGCTAATGAGATCTCAGCAGCACTTACTGCCCAAGTGCTTCCCCCCTTACTCACAGGCCTCAAGGCAGACTACATCAGCTGGGGTGGAAAAGCCCTTTAAGCTCATCCAGTCCAACCACTGCCCAGCACTGCCAAGGCCACCCCTAACCCATGGCACTGAGGCCTCGTCTCCACGCTGTGTGAACACTTGCAGGGACGGTGCCTGCAGCCCTGCCCTGGGCAGCCTGTTCCAATCCCTGAGCACCCTCTGGGGCAGGAATTGTTCCTCAGCTCCATCTAAACCTGCCCTGGGGCAGCTTGAGGCCGTTTCCTCTTGTCCCATCCCTTGTTCCTTGGGAGCAGAGCCCAGCCCCTCCTGGCTCCATCCTCCTCTCAGGCACTTGTAGGCAGCCATCAGGTCCCCCCTGAGCCTTCTCTTCTCCAGCCTGAACCCCCCAGGTCCCTCAGCCCTTCCCCATCACACTTGTGCTCCAGGCCCTGCACCAGCTCCGCTGCCCTTCTCTGGCCCCGCTCCAGCACCTCAATGTCTCTCTTGTAGTGAGGGGCCCAGAGCTGAACACAGGATTCGAGGTGCGGCCTCACCAGTGCCCAGCACAGGGCACAATCCCTGCCCTGTCCCTGCTGCCGCACTGGTGCTGATCCAGGCCAGGATGCTGGGGGCTTCCTGGCTGCCTGGGCACGAGCTGCTCGTGTTCAGCTCCATCAATCAGCACCACCAGGTCCTCCTCCATAAACTGCTTTCCAGCTGCTCTTCCCCAAGCTTGGAGCGCTGTTGGGGTTGTTGAAGTAACATGCAGAAATAAACTCAGAGCCAGCAAGGAAGAGCCCTTCCATGTGCCCCTGGCCAGTGTTGACAGTCGGGGCCAGACTTTTCTTTTGAAGCATCAGCTCAGGCATTGTACCATGAGCCAGCCCAGTGCCATGATGTTCTCCCCAGTGCTGGCTGCATTTCACCAAGCACGAGCCCTGAAGGTTGAGCAGCAGGGTGCTGCCAGAGCTGCTATTGCCCTCTTGCTGCCCAGGGAACTCAGGAACACGTGACAGAGGGTGCAGGAGATTCCCTCACTTGCCTTGAGCAGCCAAAATGAATCACACATCTACCACATGTTTTAACTCACCCACTTCCTGGACACTGAATGGAAAACAAAACTTACGAAAGTTACAAAACTCGCTGATCCTTCTCTTTATGCACCACAATTGCTGCTGTCCACAAAACAGAATCACAGCTCCAAAATGAACTTCCTGCTTTCTTGCCTGTGCTGAGTTTCTTCAGAAAGCAAGAGGTATGGTAAAAACAGAAGCAAATCAAACTTTGGGCAAGGAATTCATGTGTAGAAGGCAGTCTGCCAGGCTGCTCTGCTCTTTATTTCATCCTCCAGGAGCTGCAGGCACCCCTGGCACAGCAGCTCCATAGATGTACTCAGAAACTGGGAGAGGGTTAATGCTTTCACAGGAATCATCCCTACACCTTCCCATTGGAGGGAATCCCCGCTCTCTTCATCATCTGAGCAGCTCTGTAGCTGCCTTTAGCAGAAGGGGTAAGAGCATGGTGGGAGGTGAAGAGCTGAGCAGTTGTCAGCTCTTCTCTGAAGTCCTTCTTCATGACCTCTAGCAAATTCCATCAATCCCAAAACCTCCATTTCCTTCATCATCATAAAAACCCCCAACAACCCAAACCCCACCCCCAAAATAACCAAACCCAGGACTTTGAGTGCTTCCTTCCTGGCGCTGCGTTAGCTCACAGCCACGGCATGTTTTGGATCCATCGGTGCCAAGTGTCATTGTTTGTTCCCCACTCACGGATTTGGACCCCTGTCTGCAGTCACGCTCCCAAGCCTGGCCCAGGTCAGCTCAGCACACTGCTCGTGACCCCTCCTGTTGCACGTTCCTAATCCAAGCGTTGCCAGGATTAAATAAACGAGCACATCCCCTCCTGGCAATTGCTGACCAATATTTCTGGTTTGCTGTCAGCTCAGAACAGCCCAGGATGCCCATGGGCAGGAGGGGAACGTGGCTCTGACCTGCTGGAACAAGGACCACAGCCAGGAGACAAGCAGGTATCAGAAAGGTGACACCAGCAGGGCTGCTCAGAGCTGGAAACTCATTGAAGTGCTGCTATTTGAGAAGATCATTAAGTCTGGTAAGGAGAGAGGCTCATCCCACTGCACTCCAGTGGTGCACTGGCTTCACAGCAGAGGTGGCTGTGAAGCCCTGGCAATGCTTTGGGAACAGGGTTGCAAAGAGCATACATGGAGCTGGCACAGAGGCACAGAGCAGCTTGTACGGGGCTGCAGTGATGATTGAGGGTCTAAAGGGACTCTTGGACCCACAGACCTTGCTCCCATCTCCTGGTAGGGACCCACCAACCCAGCCCAGTGGCCCCTATTTATGTTCTTTCAGCAGCCTCTGCTGCTGTCCCACACGTGCCAGCTTTCACATTCCTGTCTCTGGAAGTGCCACAGAAGCTGTCTGGGATATATTCCCTTTACCATCCCGAAGGTGAGCCGGTTGGCAGCTCAGAGAACCCACCACACCACTGTAAGCTGATACTTTCCACAACTTCTTGCAGTCCCCTCACACTTTACTCCAGGGCACTCTCTGCTTACAGACCCCTTGTCCTGAACCTGAGCAGGACACATGGAAGGATACAGTTTCAGGAACATCAGTAATTATAGAACAGGGCTGACAAGGGAGGAGCTCATGGGAAAAGCAACACCACTTCCCAAGGCAAACAGCGGGCACAGGCTGTTACAGACTCCAAGCAGCATTTCAATGGAAAATGAGGAAAGCA